GCGAGACGCTTCTTGCGCTGTTTCATGTTCAAGAGTGGCTTGACACACGGAATGCGACACCTGAATCCCATGTCTTTCATGAGTCTTCTCGTGGTGGTTCTTGAAGCGCTGACTCCAGCTGCAGTCCACTCTTTGTGGATCTCCCCCACATTTTTGAATGGGTTTGTCGTCACAATTCTCTGCAGGGTGCGGTTATCCCTAGAGCTTGTACACTTTTTTCTACCACATTTTTTCCGTCCCTTCGCCTGTCTGTTAATGTGCTTGGACACAGAGCTCTGCGAACAGCCAGCTTCTTTAGCAATCACCTTTTGTGTCTTGCCCTCCTTGTGCAAGGTGTCAATGATTGTCTTTTGGACAGCTGTTAAGTCAGAAGTCTTCCCCATGATTGTGGTGCCTTCAAAACAAGACTGAGGGACCTTTTAAAGGCCTTTGCAGGTGTTTTGAGTAAATCAGCTGATTAGAGTGGCAGCAGGTGTCTTCTATATTCAGCCTTTTCAGAATATTCTAATTTTTTGAGATACCAAATTTGGAGTTTTCATTAGTTGTCACTTATGAATATCAAATTTAAATGTAATGAACATTGGAAATACATTGGTCTGTGTGCATTGCATGAATATAATGTACAAGTTTCACGTTTTGAATGGAATTACTGAAATATTTTCAACCTTTTGATGATATTCTAATTTACTGGCCAGCACCTGTATGCAAAAAATGCTGTTAATCCCCCATTTTCACCCAACATTTTTTTCTCAATGGAACTGAATAATTTATACATTTGTAAACCTGAGAACACATTTCTTTAGACGAAAAAGGTTATAGCTGATAAAAATGTTTCATTTATATCAGGGTAGAAGAGGGGCAGGGCCAAACTATCATATAATTTTATGAAATTGATTTTTACAATTAATAGAAGCTAAAATATGAACCAAATAAATTAAACAGCAACATTTAAATACTGAACAAAAGAAACAGCTGGAATACAGCCTGGTCTTTATAAATGAGAGCAGCAATAGCAGGGTTTGTGTTGGTCTAGTAAATAAAACCTTTTATGTTTTAGTAAAAGTCCTGACCTATATGATATCCCAGCATGTCTTGTATTGACCCAGCTCTGTGCAGCTTATAATAGAACTGAACAGACAGAGAATGATCTAGATAACAGAAAGAAAAAAACCAAATCACTTTATAAATGTACCCACTTGTTGCTAATTCCATTTTGAATGAATTAGGTCTGTATATATTATCAATTCATCGATTATCCTTTGTGCAAAATAATGCAATTTGGAGTACAAAAAACTTGATTGAAATAAGCAAACAAGTTAAAACGCTGAAAAGAAAGATCACGTTTAAAGAATTTCTGTTTTTTTTAATGCCAAACATAATCAGATTTGTGACATGCTGGTAAAAAATGTGTTTTGTTCTCGTCCAAGACAAAAATCAAAGTCTCTCCATGTCCATTGTGTCAGCGACAAACAGAAGTGTGAAGAGACGGAGCCGGAGAGGCAGAGGCGACCCTCCTTTTGTGCCCACACAACAGTTTAAGCTGCATAGATTCTGTTTCTTTGGGCCAGGCCCACGTCTCTGAGAAAGTAAACTTGGGGTGACCCTCCAGGTTAGGCCGGTCTGGGATGTGGGTGAAGATCCTGTGATTCAAGGAGTCTCAGCTCTGTGAGATTTCAGCGGGTCCCACTTCAAAAGGAGGGAGGAGAGATCACTCGGGGATTTTGTTCCCTCACCAATGGGCTGCATTCTTGACCCCGGCAGGGCTGGTTAAACATCATGGATGCTCTCGCCTTTTGTCGTCGGACAGGACAGCAACCTGATGTTGCCTTGTTATGTGGCGGGGGAAGCCAGCCGAGTGAGCCCCTTCACCACCAACAGTGTCCGACTTAAGGGGCGTCTCTGCTTTAGGTGGACACCGATTAAGACGTTCATCCTGTCTGACAGCGTTTTCAAATAAAACACCAGGGATATACAGTCCCCTTCATACTTAACCCTTTTAACATAATCCTTTCTGTAAAACTTTTTCTTTATTAAACATCACGTCTGCCCTTAAAATGAAAACATATTACACTGTAAGAAAGGAAATATTGAATTTACTTAACCAAGTTACGTCCACTGGTTCCACTAAACCTAGTAAATGTACATTTTCTTTTATCAAAAGAAGAAAATATCATTTTTATAGCGCCTTTCAAGATAAAAATCACGAGGCGCTTCACAAAAACAAAAGATGTAAAAATATAAAAAAGCATTTAGAAAATGTTTAAAAATATATTTAAAATGAGCAAAAAGACTGTATAACAATGTAATTTACTCCTTATATTCAAGCAATATGTTAAGTGGAACCAGTTGCCATAACTTGGGTAAGTAAACTCAACATTTTGTTTCTTACAGTGTAATAAATTGACAAGTAGTTCTTCATTGTATTCATTGTTCTGAATCTTTTAAGCACCCGATGCTGTCACAGTCAGAAGAAACTGGATAGAAAGTGTGAAAAACAGCAAAGCTTCTTACGTAACAGCCATTCTTCTTCCCTCCATAAACCTGGTGACTTCTACCCGCACAACAGAAATAACTCCTGACAAGTTTGCTCAGGTATAAAAGAGGAATATCATTATGTCTCATGGGCATTTCCGTCTCCAGCACATGCTAACGTGCACTTTTTGCTCAGAGAGCCGCACGACAGAAACAGTATTCTCACAGTTGAGAGGAGCTGCAGTATGTGTGCCGGTGCCTGAGCTTTACACACTCTGACAGAGCAGCAGAGATGCACCTGTCTGCCTCTTTCATAACCACGCTGAGCTTCACGCTCACTGAGCTCAGGCCTCGCCCTCGCCCTGAGCTGCACGTGTCTGCACAGCCTCTGCAGGAGGCTCGCCACAGCTGGGACGACTCTCAAGCTTACAAAGTCTTTCAGAGACATTTAACTTTCACCCTCAAAATTCCTGGAAAGTTTATTTCTGAGGACTTCTCACTAATCTTTCAGGGTTTTCAGAAGAAGTATTTAACAAAGGCAAGTTTAAGGGATGGTCAGTGTCTTACCTTCAGCGATGATTGCCTTTCACTTAGGTTTGAATAAATCCTGAAAACAAAGCAAAGGAGGACGCCTGGAAAAAATAACTATTTTCTACTTAAAAACTCATTTCACAGCAGCTGCAGAAGAGGCCGTTTGTATTTATGAAGGCTGATTTTTTTTACGTGTTGCAGCGATGTCCACCAAAACTAACCATGTTACTAAAATTTCCTTCAATTTAATTTCTGTTTTTATTTAAAATTGTAATTAAAACAAGGTAAAATAAAGGAGATTTTATTTATAGCAATGATTCCTTCAGAGCCTTTGGCAACGTGTCTGATCCAACTCTCGGGGAAGTGAGGCTGACTGAGCGCGTTAGGCCCACTCGTTGCTCGCGTGAGAAACACGACGGCTACATTCGACAAACACACCAACACCCGTTGCTTGTGAAACATAACCGACACTTGTGCAAGACATCCAGTTTTTTGATACTACACCATTTCATGGCAATACTTGAAATGAATCCTCAAGATCTCCTTGAAAATAGATTATTTCATGGACAAACGAAGTAAGTTAGAACTATTTCAGTCCCAACTACTGCTGTGCAGTGAAGCAGAAAAGGCTGCAGGCCTGTTTTTCTAACCCACCAGCTCATCCTCACTGTGTCTGCAGTTTGACATGCTGCTCCTCTTACATCCTGTGATTCATGCAACCGTCCCGTCATGCATACCAGGAAAAAAAGCTGTCCCTAGCTAGCGTTTTTCAGCATGGCGAAGCCTACTTTTGCCCATTAAAGATGATGTTTTATTGATACCGGAGCCCTTTTTCACCTGTGGAAGTTTGCTAATGAGGTTTTCTGATGGTGCTCTCAAACTTCAGCTTTAATCTGACAGAGGAGCCCTGCTGCAGATGGAGGGCTAAGTCTGTGTGATCTCTCCTCGCTGGAGGCATCAAGTCGTGTGGCTGAAATCAGCAGGTGGTGCCAGGATGGGGATATTTAAAAAGTTTGTTAAGAGAGATAAGGGACAGGTCTCCGTGTGAGTTTAAAAGGTTAAGATTTAGCACAATTAAAGGAGGACCAAGATGTTGCTGCTCTGCATGTAATCACTGTCCAGTTGCTTTGAGGTTAGGATGAACAAAAAAGTTTCATACAGACGTCGGACATATGGTGAAAACTTTAGTTTTTCTTTGTTAAAACTGTTTAATAACAACTTCCAGACTGTTGCACCCCGACGTTGGAACGATCTTCCTTTATCCTTACGCAGCATCGACAGTCTGGACACTTTAAAAAACAGCTAAAGACCCTTTTATTTAAATCTGCTTTTAACTAAACCTTTTGTTTTCTTATTTTTAACTCAAATTTTTAACCTTTCATCTGTTTATGACATCTTATAATTTTATGGCTTTATTTTTTCTGATGTTGATCTATTTCTGTTTTGAGATCATTATGATTTTGTGACTGTTTTATTTTGTTTTGATCTACGTGAAGCACTTTGTGACTCTGTGACGAGTGCTATATTCATAAAATTAACTTGCAACATAAACCTACTTTCCCTTTAGTTTGTCTGCCTTTTTGTAGACAAACGACAAAAATAGCATCACTGAAGGGTATTGGTTCAGACCCCTGATATGAAAATTATAGCCCTCTTCTTTAAAACCTCAAAAATAAAAATGTATAAGCTTTAGCAACAAAGACATTCTAAAACTGCATTAAAGTGACATAAAGGAGAATAGTTTGATACTTTTATGTTTTTGACAGTTTTCTACGAAGTTCAGCAAACTAAAAATAACAGAATCAGAAAAATAAAAAAGGGAAATAACAGACTTGTGGAACAGCAGAAGTTAAAACTCTCAAATAGAGATGACACCTCCCGACCTTCAAACGGCGACATCCCATCTTAATAATAGTTTTATTTCAACTAATTTAAACACAAAAACATATTCTAAAATAAAACACTGCCTCAGTGTGAGAAATGAGGAAACAAGGAGAGAAGTCCTTGATTTTTTTTATTGATTTTTTTTCTTTTCTGCGACAAAGATTTGTCTAGTCCGTCTCTCGATGCTGTTATTGTTCTCTCTGTGTGTGTGTGTGTGTGTGTGTTGTGAGAGAGAACCCTGACACAACAGACTGGAAACGTGTGAAGAGCTGAGAAAGAGGGGAAGATGCTCAGGATGGTGAGTATGTTTGGCTGTGTGCTTGTCTTTTCTCCTCTTATCTGTGCAGCACCTCCGATGTTTCACCTACAGGCCGAGGTTGGAGAAGCCCACTCGTGCTTCTGTGTCACTGGATGTGCATGCCAGTGTGTGTGTGCATGCCAGTGTGTGTGTGTGTGTGTGTGTGTGTGTGTAGGCCCAAATTGTGGGGAGGGGGCCATGCTTGGTGGCTAGTGCGTGTGTGTCCAGCCTGTTCATCAATCAAGTCAGTGGGTTCTCTCGGCTATCGGAGCATCAGTTCCTATTCTTTAGCTTCCAGGAAGAGCGTCTCCTGAGGAAACAACTTGGCCTCCAGCAGGGTCGACCCCGGATCCAGCTGGGTGATCTGGGAACAGAAAAGATCACAAAATAAGATCTCTGGATTCCTTTGGCAGTTCAGATGACACCTCAAAATGGAAAATCTATTAGAGGGATAAAAGAGCGAGAGAAGCAACAAAACCTAAAAATGAGGACAGAGGAGGGTTTGGTATATTTTCACTTGAAACAATAATTAGCTGTGGTGGCTAATCGTTTTAAGACAATGACAAGTCTTTAAATCGGTTTTAGTACCGCACCAAAATATTTCATCTGGCTCTTCAGATTTAGATCCTTATTAAGGCCTCAGTTAGTTCACCACCACCCAAATCCCTCTGTGACTGTCTGACTGAGTGTGTGTGTGTGTATTTTTCTAACGCATGTTTAAAAAAGTTTAAGCAGAAATCCGAGCAGCAAGAGTTTAGTTTCCCTAAGAGGACAGCTGAGTTTGTTGTCTTACAAAGGCCCAGATCCAGAACAAACTGATCAAGGTTGCAGGACTGTGTGAATAGGACAGTGTGTGTGTGTGTGAGAAGCAGAGGAGAGTGATTTAAAAGGTGAAAGGGTGTGTTGCTAATGGCTGATAATGACTGAATTCAGCTGTGGAAAAGGTCAAAGGGAAACATGGCTGATGGAGTAAAGGACAGAAACATTTTATCTGTGCTGAAAACTCCTCCACGCAAAAGCAATTGTCTAAAAGGAGAGAAATAATGGCGTACCACCCACAACGTAGCTGATCGAGTTAGCCCACATAAAAAAGGGAGTCTGAGCGGCGTTTTAAAAATCGGCACAACCTGACTCTCCCCCTGTGGGCCTCTTCGCTTATGTGAGCTAATCACTGGAGGGCTTGTGTTACACTGAGCCAATCTAACACCTGGGCTGAGCGGGCCAGGCAGTGTGACACCAAGATGTGTCCAGGGCTTATCTGATGACTGCTGCATCAGTCCCTCCGATTAGGGATCCTTTTCTAACCTCACACTGGGATAATTAGCCCGCTCCCTGTACCTGCTGTAGAGGGTCATAGGTCAAGCCAAGCGCCGTAAAGGTCAGCCTCCCTACAAGTAAAACCACAGCACTTACAGACGTAAGGAGTGAAATGTGAACCGTAACCATGAACTGGACCAATATGATACTCCTAACTATACTAAGGTAAATGTAAAACAAAATGTTTCCCTTTTTATTGTTTCAGCTAGATGAAAATAAAAAAAGCCTTTTCCGCTTTTTAAAAATCAGGCTAACGGTGATAAAAAGACTCCACGTGAAGCTGTGGATGGCGAGGGTGACTTATCAGCCTCAGATAAACCATCTCCCTCAGGGGTTTGAAAATGTCACACCATGTGGAAGCTGGGATCTTCGACTTTTCTCTTTTCCATCCCCGAGTGTTATTCAGACTTTTGACTTCTCGCCGGGGTTCTGGTGAGCCTGGCGCCGGCAGGGAGGAGGTGCCACATCGTCCTCCTACCCCTCACCAAGTCAACTGCTTCAGAGCATTGGGAGGGGGAGTGAAATACCATGAAGAGAGCCTGTGTGTGTGTGTGTGTGTGTGTGTGTGTGTGTGTGTGTGTGTGTGTGTGTGTGTGTGTGTGTGTGTGTGTGTATGTGTGTTTTCATGCAAACATATCCCATCCCAACGGTGGAATATTTTCCCACCTCAGGAGCAGTGCGTCACAAATGGCTGCCATGCTAATGAACCCGACAGGCTGTTGTGACACCACAGCATCAGGTAGGAGTAAATGAGGCTTCGGGGTGGAGCAGGTGTGGACAGACGTGTCTTCAGGAAAAGCATGAGTGTGTGCGTGGATGTGTGTTTTTCCCCGAGCGGGACCGGGATGAGGGCTCATGCTCAGAAGCGCACCGGGGAGAGGCGACGGGGAGGAAGTGGCGTCTGACTCTGAGAAAGAAAGTAGGGAAGCAACATGCCACACTGACACGGGAGACGGGCGCCATCGGTGATTGTTTACATTGTTATCCAATTAACAGACCATAAGCATGGAGGCATCTGTCAACAAACAAAGCTGTTGTTTTTCCTCTGCTCCGTCTAAGCCATGCTCTCACTCCTCCTTCCTACACAACCATACATGCATGCATGAATCAGATCAAACCTAGCCCTCTTTAAAGTCAATATAATCAGACAACAACATTAATCACAATTACGCAACTGAGAAAATTTTTTATTTTCTTCAGACTAAACCTTTAGAAAAATCACAGATCAATAACTAAAGAGGGGTGGGAGATCCCAAAAATCTACATTATACGAACCTAATTAATATCATTTTACCTGAGAGGAATTTTAAAGAGATAATAAAAGAAATGGCAGAGGAGCTTCACGCTACATCGCTTAATTTTAAATCTGGATCCAATAAAAAAAGACAGATGGGGCTTTTCGGCTATTTAATATTCCCTCTCGTTTCTTATGAAAAATGATATGAAAGGGAGAAGAAAATCTGCGTGGAGCATTTGTCATCAGGGAGAGTCGGATTTCAACACAGTTAAAACACATAATTATCAATTAATGTGAAGTTGAAAATAAACAGCACAATTGTAAGTCAGTTGAATCAAACTAATAAAACACACTGATAACGGAGGGGGCGACGCTCGGCAGTCAAAGGGAAGAAAAGGAGGAAAATAAACACGGGGCCCTCAAGATGTCCGCTTGCAGTTTTATCAAACGTGCAGCTGAAATAACGCATTTTTAATGAAGCCATTACAGGCCCCGCTATGTTAATTAAAACCAAATAACTTGTCTGTTTTAAACTTGTGTTGTCAAGTGTTTATTTGGCCAATTACAAAAGCAGTGGGAGATCATTATCTGCTGCCAGGAGCGTTGACAGCATGTAGCGCTGGGGCGTGAACAGAAAGGAACAGAAAAGAGTACGGCACTTCAAAGAGAGAGAGGGGTGGGGGGCTGCACATACTGGATGGAGGGGGGGGGGACCACAAAAGGGGGGAACGGAAAAGACAAGTGAGAGAGAGAAAAGAGGCATGCAAGTTTAAAATTCACTTCACAAATGAGTAAAGTTAGAGAAACTGTCAAAATTTGACCAAAAACGTGGAGAGGAAGAACAAGACAGGAGAGGACACATAAACATAAACTCAAGACTGTTTGAGGTATGGTCTAAATGTATTTGTGAAGTTTTATTTGCACTAAAGAGATGAACACATCCTTAACACCGTCTACTCCCTCTTAGACTGAATGCATTTAGCTAATTAAAGACTGCTGAAGCGATTCTCGTTTTAGATGTTGCAGGTTCTTCGTGTTAAGGTGTCACTGAATTATGGCTGCATCTCATATGGAAATGATCTCTGGCTTAGAGTAGGAATTGATTTTATTTTGCAAACAACCCAAAAATAAACTGCAAGAGAGGGAAACAGCATCTAAATAACATGGAAACGTATTTAATGTAATAACACTACATTTCCATTGTCACACACTGGTGAATTTTCTCCGCATTTGTCCCATCCCCATGAGGAGCGATGAGCTGCAGCTGTGGCTGTGCTCAGGAGCTGTTTGGTGGTTTAACTCCCCAACCCTTAAAGTCAAGCAGGGAGGCATTGGGTCCCATTGTTAAAGTCTTTTGTATGACCCAACCAGGATCTGCACCCTGGTTTCCCAATCCCAGGGTGGACCACTAGGCCACTGAGAAGGTTATGAACTTAGTTCAGTAGAATAGAATAGTCCTTTATTGTGATTTTATCCACAGAAAAACAAAACTGATTGTTTGTGATCCTACCAAGGTAAGTTGCACCCCAAATAGGATTACAACATGATGAGGTAGCAAAGCATAGTAAAATTAGATAAAACACATTTACATAAGAATATTTAGAAGAGTTGTGTTTAAAGGTGTGGTTCACTTCTTTTATCAATACATTTGCAGTGGTCTCTAGTTGGAATTAATGCCTTGTAAGTTGTACTCTGGGTACATAAAGCCCTGGCGCACCTGTTTCAGGATCTAGAAGATTGCCTGATCACACATTTCATGTATGCTGATTGCACATCTCTCCTCTAATTGGATAGAAGCAACACAACTCTACCAATGACTCTGTTAACTCTGCAACATTGAGGTTTTATCTCCACAAATAAAACAAGTCTGAGGAGTTTTGCTGTGTGGTGTAGTTGCTAATGCTAACAATTAGCTTCTACTAGCTGAGATGTTTTCTGCCGTTTCCTGAAAACTAAACCAACAACAGCCTTCGCTGTCATGAGCCAAGATGAGTGAGTCCATGAATGTTAAAGGTGCATTATGTAGAAATGACCTCCTGTGGTAAACGTTGGTTACTGCAACCACTTTAAACAACTCTGGAGCTTTTTGCCAGCTGTCGTCAAATTACAATAGTTGGCGCTGCAGTATTAGCTGACGGGAGACACAGCACCCCCACACTCACCGATGGTAAACAGTAGTTATGTCCCTCCTTCCTTTGTTTTGATAGGAGAAAAACTTACAATCCCTGCAGCCAGCTGGATATGAAATATGTTTCAGTAGAACCTTCCTTCCAAAATGACTGAAACAGACTCTTTTGGGATTTTCTCACTGTAAAATTATCACCACACATGGTAAGGAGTTTTGGGTAGTGACCGAAAGAACGAGATTGTGAATACAAGCGGCCGAGATAAGTTTTCTCTGCAGGGTGTCTGGGCTCTACCTTAGAGATAGGGTGAGAAGATCAGTCATCCGGGAGGGGCTCGAAGTAGACCCACTTTTTCTCCACATCGAGACGAGCCAGTTGAGGTGGCTCAGGCATCTAGTTAGGATGCCTCCTTGACGCTTCCCTGGTGAGGTTTTCCAAACACGTCCAACCAGGGGAAGGCCTAAAGGAAGACCCAGGACACTGTAGGAGTTTGTAAATTGAGTGCTTTAAGAGCTTAATATATTACCTTTACTTATGACCAATAAGCCGTGATACTCTATATAAATATAGAATATCAATCTGCTTTGTCTTCGGATGTTTAATCAGAAGTTTCTAGGATTCTTTGTTTATTCAGGGATTGTAAACACTTTGCCTTGATTCAGGAAAGAGTCAGGTTTATAAAAG